TTTCTGCCAGGAGCACAGAAGGTCTGAGTGCCAAATTGGCTTCTGTGGTTTTCTAATGTGGTTTGTGGCTTTGCTAATGTGGACTCCTTTGGGTATATTTTCAGTGTCTTAGGCAAGGAATTAGACCTGCAACTCTCGTGACTGTAAATGGGATGCACACACCTAGTACTTCATGGTCTGTATCAGAAAAGTGTGCTCCCACCTTTCTCTCACTCCTAAGCAAACTGTCTAGTGTGCAGAGGTCTAATCCTCACCTGGCCACAGCTGTAGTACAAAGCAGCTGCCACACAAGGACCCGGGACATGCTCCTGGACTCTTTCACTGGCCCATTTACACTTGGATGAACTGTGTTCAATGCACACTGTTAGAAATGCAACTACTTCTAGACCTCAGACCTGGGACTCCTCTAAACAAGAAAGTCACACTTATTAATTTACGATTGTACAGGCAGACTTAGATTGTACAGGCAGACTTCTGGCCCCATAGAATGGGGCCAGAACTACCTGTTTTATCTATATCCCTCACCCTCCCTGCTGCATTCAGTACTGAGTGAGAGAGTACCTACCCTGCCTTGGGAGACAGAGGAAGGCAGAGAGAAACATTTACCTGCCTACAACCTTCCTTTTAGTGTTCCATCTAGAAGTCAAGACGGCTAACCACTCTTCCAGTGCTGGTGCCCCAAGACTCCACTCCCATTCTCCTCAGGCCTTTACAGAAAGGTGTTAGAAAGCAGCAATGACTTCATCAGCCTGATGCAACACTACACAAGCCGTTGCAACTCACCAATGACCACAGACTAGTGAAGAAAAAAGCTTTTGGCAACTAAAGCACACGGTGTCCCTGGCTGCTGCAGCTTCCTTTCCTGGGCAGGGATAGCAACAATCTAAAGGTGTATTTATTCCCCTCAACTGTGCCTCTCTCTCTGCTCATGCTACAGCTCCCACAGAGGTCATTAATGAGGTGGTACTTGCCTTGCAGAGGCTATACAGGATGATCAGGATCCCACTTAGGAAGTAGCTGCTGGATGGATCATCGCCCATGATGTACTTATACCACAGCTGGATGGGGACAAGGGAGCGGAACAGCTGGCTCAGCTCCTCAATAACCAGATAAAACTTTCCCTGCAAAACAAACAGAAAAGTGATACATGACTACTGTCAGGAAGACAAAAGAAGCACACTTAACAGGAGCAGGGCTTGGAGCTTTGTGCTGGTTTTGGCTGGGATAGTGTTCTGCACAGTCGCTACCATGGGGCTGTGTTTGGGATCTTGGCTGCAAACGGCGTTGATAACACCGGGGTGTTTTCGTTCCT